TATAATGTAATCCGATTAAACCCCATATCAGAACTATGTATTACGAAATTTACGTCAATCAGTACACTCCGTTTGTCGAACCATAATTCTCTTATTTGTTCATTATTTAACATTTGTAATCGATGATTCATTAATTATCGAAAGAAAATATTCTAAACTTTTCAACGCAAACAAAATGCGAATCGATGATGTTCCGAATAAATTAAAAGATTTTAGAGAAATTGATGGCATTATACTCAACAGCTTCAGGTTACATTCATCATATTATGATATCAAAACAGCACAAATCAGCATGAAAGAAAATGTTACGATACTTTCGTAAAAGGACGGGAAACGATAAGAGCCAAAATCGGCTTCCTCACATATAGGTCTTATATTCACGGATCTAATATAGCTTTTGTCCGCGATTACACCAAACATATTTTTAGACCTTAGAAAAACCTTTTCAGTGCCCCTGGGAAACACTCTTGAGCATCTCAGCAAACCAGTAGGTCAACAAGAAAAACTAGGTTGTGTCTAAAAGTTTTCCAATGGGATTCTATTGATTTTCTTTCATAGGCTGCTAACTCGGGATCTTCTCTAAAAAACGGGAATGAAGACCTTGATTTTCCGCGGCTCGGTCTTTGCTTTGGAAAGAGTTTGCTGACCTACCGGTTTGCTGAGATGCTCAGAAGTGTTTTGAATGTTACACTATCCCGTGACATTTTCTTCTAAACATTTTATATGTCTTTTGTAGCCCGTGGAATTCTCTATCTAATGGTATGTAATAGTTGAGGGTTGCTCTAAGCGAAAGCGATGAAATAACGAAAATACTCTGAGGAAAGTTCATCTAACGAGAGGTATTAACAAAGTGTCGAACACCCCAACCAATAGAACGTGAAAATATCTCATGTATTTTGGGAAAACAATCTTGGCTTGAAATGAATGATTAGGAATTTAAATAAATAGTAAATGTACATTCTAATTAATGGCTGTTTGCAATAGTACAGTCGTCATCGAAAGAATTATTGCTCTGAATAATACCAGTAGCCATAATCAACATGTTAGTCGACTTAACTGTTATATTTGCTGATTAACATTAATAAAAGCACCGGTTTCTCTTAGTATTTTTCAAAAATTCACAAACAATGGTTTACATTTTCGTAAAAACGAGTTGAAACATTTTTTTAAAATGGCACTTTTGTAGAGACAACATTTCTCTACAAGATAGTATACAGGAGGTATTTTAGAAGTTTTCCTCAAACCTATGGTCGGTTAAAACCGTCGGTTATAACCGACGGTTTTAACCGATACACCTCTGTATCAAAGACACTTTTTAAAGAAGCCAAAAAACTTTAAGATTAACTACTATATACCATCTTGTAGCGAAATGTTTTCTCTACAAAACTGACATTTTTAAAAAGTGTAACAATTCGTTTTTACGAAAATGCAAACCATTTATTGCGAATTTTTAATAAACAAAAAAATCGGTTGCATGCTTTTATTAAAAGCACGAGCGAAACTGCAACTGGAATAAGATGAATGCAATTAACTAATACCCAACGAACTTATGCATCTTATCTTAAAATGCTTTTTTTGGCGTGCAAATTTAAAAATTTCTACTAACCTTCTCATTTGACAGAATCTCTAAAGCCGTCACAAGAGCTCTGTTCGCACGCGCAATCATATGCCTTGCTGCCATTCAACATCACACCATTCACATTAGAAAAAGGCATACTAAACATTGAGAAAACATATTTTTTTCTTTCAATTCGTCTATTCAATTCAACAAACTCAACTGTGTATGGAAAACAACTTATTTCAGTAGTAAGCCAATACTAAAAACGTATACAGAAAAAAATAGTGATGAAAAAATTGGAAACTATAATACTACAAGTTCTACTAAATAAAATGTGTTTGATAGTGTAACAACCTCGGCATGACCTGTTCTAAGTACTCAAAATTTTCCGTGTGATCAAAAGTATCTTTCTATGTCCTAGAAATAGACATTTCATAAGGATGCAGCCATACGTGCGATTGAACTCTTTTCGTCCACATAGCACCTTTTTCCGTTTTCTCGGAAAAATTCCACTATGTGGAATTTTTTTTGCACTTCTCACTTTTTAGGTTTTTCTCAGCCTTTTCCATTTTCCTTTCTTAATTGAATACAAACACTTTAGTTAAACATTATTTCCTATTAGCAAATCCTATAGAACGAATAATCATCCTTCTTCAATCTACTGATTTGAAAATGCACCTTTATTGCAGCTAATGATTTTTCCCTTACAAATCTGTCGGGAAGTGAAAAAAATGCTTTGCGTTTTTTTGCTGCTTTTTCTGCTAGTTCGTACTTCTAAAGGTGGCAACCCTGCTACATGAGTTCATCGTATTCAGTTCCGATGAGGATCCTGTTTCAAATATAAAAAACGTTTGTTATAAATCCAAATGTCGACTATACCACGTTTTATAGATCAGATGCCCAAGTCATCTGTACTGGTCCGTTAACGGGTGTAAAAACGAGCCGTTAATGTTACTATATACTAGCAGTTTCAAGAACGAATCACAATTAATGAACAATTAACGGTCTAAAAGTGAAGCGTTGGCAAGAGTGACCAGATGGAGTTCATATTGTATACTATAAACGGCTCGCATATCACCGGAAAAAAAATAAAGTTGGTTTAGAGTTGCTGAAAAGTGGTTTTTCGTACTCAGCACACTCGATAACTTAGAAGATTTTCTGTTTTTGGCCCGAGGTACTACCGAAAGTTTAGGAAAAGTTTTCAAATTAATATTATTTTTCCATGGAAAACTTTTTGCGCCATTTTGTTTCAAAAGTTTTCTTAAACTTTCGGAAGTACCCCGANTATCGAGTGTGATGAATACGAAAAATCACTTTTCAGCAACTCTAAACCAACTTTATTTTTTTTGTTCCGGTGATATGTTTTTAGATCGTTTTCTATCGATGGAAAAACGAACTGTTCACAGTAAGCAAGTTTGACTACGCACGTGGACATGTGCCATCAAAGTGATACGAAACCCTCTAAATACTATTTTTATAGGTTTTCGTATGTACTCTTTCCAATGGTGTGATTCACAAAGTTCAAAAACGCTTTTAGTCAGGTTTTCCAGAGACCGGGTCTTTAGAAAACTCTGATAAAAACATTTTTGAAGTTGTAAACCATACCATTGGAAATAGTACATGCGAAAACCTATAAAAATAGTTGAGTCATTTTGTAAGGTGAAGAATTTCAATATAGATAATAAGAGCTACACAACCTTTTTCATCATGAAAATCGACTACTTTCTGTTTGAGACGTTTCGTCTTTATTCAAAAGACATCCTCAGTCAAATGTGACAGACGAAAGTTGGTTGAGGAAAGTTGGTGACTGAGGATGTCTTTTGAATAAAGACGAAACGTCTCAAACAGAAAATAGTCGATTTTCATGATGAAAAAGGTTGTGTATCAATGGCACATGTTCATGTACTGAGCCAAAATTCCTCCTGCAAATCTGTCACTTCATTAAATCGAACGATCTTTTGCACATTAAAACATACAACTGACATATCATTCGACTCAATTTTTCACGCTGAGTCTGAATATGTAGTTACTTTTGAAAAAGAAATTACTTTTAAGCGTAGAAAAAGATTAAAAATCTCGAAAATCTGAGGGTTTTTGGAAAACCTATATATCAGCTTAGAAGCATTTGTGCACCTTTGTGCTATCTTCTGTAGACGTCTTATATATAGAAGTAGAATACCCGAAATTTTCATTTAGCTTGGAAATTGGAAAAAAATGGAAACGTCGCTTTACTGGACACACGTTTTCGGAAAACACTCAGCGGATGAAGAACAAATATTTTCTCGGTTCCGAAACTTGGTGAGAAAAATTTTTTTTTACGAATATATAGAATGAGAGGTCTAGTTTCGAACTATGCAATAATTGTTAAGGTTATCATATTCGGTTTCGCGAAACCAATATTTATATGTTCACAGGTCTGTTTTTAAAGAAAAACTTCCATAAAGGTTTTCCTACTTAAAACGGCACTTGGAAAAAACGTCCCGTAGCAATCAGATAGAGCGTATGTTGAAGTATATGACCTGCCATTCAGATGTTGAAAAAGTGTACTTTCATTTTTTCTCCTAAAGTCCACGTGTTTGCTCACTGTGCCATTAATGGACTTCGGTTTTCCTCTTTTACGGTCCTCTATTACGTTGCTATCACCAGTAGTGTACACATATTGCACTAATTTATTTCGAGTAACTTAGAATTGTTAACTTCCGCTAATAGATAAGTCAACGAAACTTGATTAGAGGAAGCAATCCTTCCTAGGTCTGGTACCAGAGAGAGTATCTTGGTCTTCGGATTAATACTAAAAATGGTACCAAAAGCAAAATAATTGAAACATGGCAAAAACAATATTTTTGAGAAAGGAAGTTAAAATGAAACTTTATAAAACGATCCGTTAATGGTAAAAGAAGTCTAAAAAACAGGGTAAATGAGCCGTTTTTTGTCTTAAGACAGTCTTATTTAAGCATATTAAAACGTTGTGGCAACGATCTTGGTAATCTATAAACGGTCATTTAACGAGACAGTTACGGCACGTTAACGACACCGTTTTTCTAGACCTGAGTACGTAAAAGCATAAGGGATAAAGTATATGAAAAAGGCCAATCTACTGGGTATCAGTGAAAGTTGTTAAACTAAATATGATTCTTGATTCTTCAATTTAATTGACCAGATTTGTATAGCAGTTTCTTTTATTCTAGGTGTAACTATGTGACGAGAAAGAAAGAGATACTCATTGTGTACGTCATTCTATACAAGTTAAATAAAGTTGTTATAGTTTCGCAAATATATTTTTTCAAATGTATGTAGAAACATTATTTAAATAAATCGGAAAGAAAAATTGGTTTAATAAAAAAACTGACTTTGTACTTTCAACCATAGTTTATCTTCTCTGTGTTTTTTCATCATCTCTCAGCCCCCGTCTAATCGATAAATAACTGAAGTTTTTCAAACGATGTTTCAAAATATCGTAACTGTTCAACCGCCGCCCACCGTTTGGATGACTAAACCGCCAAATGGAAACGCATTATCCTATCTTCAAGACCTTGATTCATTATTAGCAAAACAAGTAGTCAGTTTAACTCAAAGTATGTGAAAAATGGGAGCCCTGCTTAGAAAATATTTTTATTCCATCTTTTCAGTGATAACTGGTTTCGATACTCAAATTAAATTTGGTATATTCAATAGTAGTGGCCAACAAGTGTTTTATGCGTTCGAAGGTACATAATCGTTATCATTTGGTACTCATATGATTCTGTGAGTGTTTTTTTAGAATCGGATACATGTGAACGAATGTGTTGTGGAAAACAACGGGGATTTGTTTTGCACATTGTTGATAATACGAATCAGGTATAAAAGAGTCATTTTTTGTAGCGCATAGTTCACAAGTAAAGTTCACCTTCGAATCACTCGCGAAGGAAGGTTCCCGACTCGAAAATCGGTTTCTGGATGGAAGTTGTGTGATTATAGGTAATCGATGATGCTGATTCCGAATATCATAGTCGGGACGGCTGCTTAAGAGCCGCTTTTTTTTTGAAAATCGGTTTTCCAGAGTCAAATTTTTTTTTCTGAAATTAATTTCTGCTACATCCAGTGTGTAGGGCATGTCGAGTTACCTAGGAGTCAAAATGTTTTTGACTATTGAACACTTCCTGACTGACTTATAAATATTTTAAAATCTACAGTTAATGAAGAAAAATATGTTTAGAGTGAAAAAATAGCTCTTCATCACGTACCTTTTCTTTTATGAAGAATAATATTTTTTTACAGAGAATACCATGTGAAGATATATATCCATTGTCTTGACTGTAATAACCTCCTTCAATCAAATACATCGTCTTAATTTTTAACAAAATTTTCCAAAAGCTCTATCACCATTGAAGCAGCGCACTAGCTTCATTCGGAAATCAAACAGATAGAAGAAAGTTTTCATACGTTCAATATCCAAGGTGCAGCTATCGACGAGATTGTCAGAATTCTCAAAGTTTTCTGAAAGCTTCCATGTTCGTCGAACTAATCTCGCCTGGTTTTTCAGGATGAACTTCATCATCGTTTACGCAGATTACCTGATATCAGTTTTTACAGCGAAACTGCCTGCTACCTCTATTTGATTTAACTTCTATTATTCAATTCGGCCGAATTCGGTGACTCCTGATTTAGTGCTAGTTATCTACGTAGTATGTAACTGCTTTAAGAATAGATCATATTTTCATCCGTTCTACAGGAAATTATTCGAATTCGTCGAGACTTCAAATGTTTTTCTGGTTCATGCTTTGGATGGTTCGCATGTTGTAATGCTTGTATTCATGAAGTTATTGTTGAATCTCCACCGGGAGTTGTTATTGGTACCGTACGTCAGAAGTAGGTGTCTCACTTTTGTTAAAAAGTAACATAAACAAGAGTTGTAATGGAAAATTTATTTTCTTTATTTTTAGATGTAGTTTCTGTCGTCCTCATTTTGATTTAAAAGATGCAACTGGTAATAAAATTTTAAGTATCATTGGACCATACTGTGTATGTGATGGTCCCTATTGTTGCTGTTGTGAAAATAAGTTTACGGTAAGTTTCTAAGACTGGAGTGTACTACATATTTTCAAGTTTGTTTTAATTGTTTATTGCTTAGCTATTTGGTAGTGATGATGTTAAAGAAATAGGTGCTATACATAAGAAATATGCTGGATTTATCAATGAAGCATTTACAGGAGCAGAATTATTTACTGTTCAATGTAAATAATGTTTTAGCACACGTACACAGATTGATTGACAATATCTTCATATCATTTTTCCTTTAGTTCCAGTAAATATGGATATGAAGATGAAAGCGGTTGCAATAGGAGCATTATTTCTCATCGTAAGTAGTCATGCTTATTATCTATTGTTTTCTCAAAAAATATAAGACTTTAAATGATCTAAGAAAATTTGCAGAAATAATTCCGTTCACATATAGAAAATACAAAAGAGATCGTAGTTTATCGCAAACATATTGAAGTAGAATCGTTCGACGATCGACATCGGCTGTTCTATCTTTTCTATAATCTAATTAACGTTTGTGGATCTTTTTCTTCTATTTAGTTCGTATATTTGCGATAAATCAGGATCTTTTCTTCTTTTTTTTTAATATTAAGCAGAATTAATTCTGCAAATTTTTCTGGATCCCCATCTTTTCTCAAAATTATGGTATTGTTTTTATGTAGCTTCTCATAGAGATCACAAAGAGACGGAAGAGTTCAAATTTCTGCTCACAATGATGGGATTTTGTTGATTCTTAATGTACGGACATTACAGGCAGTCATCTCTAAAAATATTTTTTTCCTGAATCGGATGTTAGGATGATAATAATTTTAGTTAGACAGCATGCTTTCATTGCATTGATAATTAGAGCGCTTAATCATTCCAGAAGGACTTTTACACTTCTAGTTTCACGATGGTGAGTTGTTCTAACAAAAGTTTATTTTATCTAGGATTTCGTATATTTTGTTCATGCTCCAACACGAGGTGGTTATATATAGTCATAGAGGACATGGTTGACACTCTGTTACAAAGAACAATAATTTATGTTTCGTCATCAAATATCGACATAATGTTTAAAATATCAATGTCTATAAAATATAGCTTTAATATTTTTTGTAAACCATCAAGCATTTAATACAACTCTGACAACAGAAGGGTGAAGTCCGTATAACACGTGAAATCGATCCACTAACTTTAACCGCTCCAATCGGTTCAAAACTCATCAGAATCACATTCGATCATCATATTCGACGATTTCGACCCTTCAAAATGCTGAAAATTCTTTGTAAAAGCGTCCATCTTGTAGAGCAAACATTTTTGAAGAAAATGAGACGTCTTTGAGCTCTTTAAAACATTTCTGCATGAAATAGCGTTCATATTTTCGGAAAGCCCTAGGCGCGAATCATCTTGTTTTCCCGTTAGTTTTGCTGCTATGGGACTTTCCGTGAATTGAATGCTGTTTCATGAAAAAATGTCTTTAAGAGCTCGAAGATGTCCTTCAGAAATGTTTGCTCTACAAGATGGACGCTTTTGCAAAGAATTTCCAGATTGAACTCTGACACTTGTTTTTCTAAGATTCTGGTTTTCTAGAGATCCCGGTTTCGAGAGATTTGATAGAACCTTTTTACGCACTACATCAGATCTCAAAGTCTTTCAGCTGTTCAAATATTTTTTCAAATTTGTTCTAGCCAGTATGGTCGATGAGGAAAATGAAAAATAGAGGTAGCGAACAATTTTTGGACCCATTCTAGGTTTAAGTGGCGCAGTATTTAATACCTTAACACCGCCGCCAAATTTCGTTAAGTTTCTTATTAACACATTATGTTGTAGAACGTTTCACGGCGCATCGAATGATGTATGAATGATTAGAGATCCTCTTTGGTATCATAGAAAAAAGTGATCAAGAGTGCCCCTGGCGTACCTGCGATCAATGGAAAAGTCTAGTATTACGCTCATAAAACCTGCTGCCAGGCTCCGTTAAGTTTACTATTAACACATATTGTAGAGCTTTACACGGCGCATCAAATGATGTATTGCACTAGGCTCAATATTGCATGGACACGGAGAAATTTGTATTTTACGGTGATACTGTTGGTGCTAAATCGTTGCTTGCTTTCGGGTAGATTCTGTCTGGTATATTCGATTGAAAGCGTTCTGAAAGGTCGAAATCATCGAATATGATGATCGAATGTGAATCTGATGATTTTTGAACCGATTGAAGCGGTTAAAGTTAGTGGATCGATTTCACGTCTTATGGGAGCTTTGTCTAGATTACAGTAAACATTAAAGATGTTTATGATCAGAAATTTTCCAAATAACATCCTTTCTTAAGAGTTGTATACTCACTGGTGGTAATATTTCTTCTTTTAATAAAAAACACTATCACAACATATTAAATCAATTTTTATTTATTTATATACTACAATAGCAATAACACATAATATATATTATCTTTATTATGATTCTGGTTGTGCAAATGACTTTAGAGAATATTGATATCTGTCAGCGGATGTGGGCATATTGATTTGCAAATATTTCCTTTCTTGTTGAACATTTTCTTGATGATTAAAACCAATTGAATTATAGAATATATGTTTGATTCGTTTGTTTAAAAAGAAAATTGCAGCCATTTCGAATGAAACACTTAAGGATAGAAATAGAACAACGATTAAATACCATGATGGATAAGTTTTTTCTACTTCATCAAGTATAAGTAATATAAAACATGGAAAGCCTCCAACACCTAATATACAAATAAGTATAAGAATATTTTGAAATAATTTAAGATCACGAGATTTCGTAGAAAATGAAGTTCTTCTTTTTGATGCCATTGTCTTACGTGCTTTTGATCGACAATGTATTAATATAATAGCGTATAATAATGTAATCGATACAATGGGTATAAAGAAAAATGATATAACAGTATAAAGTGCTGTTGGAAAACGTTTCATTGTTATAATACACAGACGTGTTTCTATTTGATAGGCAATACCGTTAAAAAATAAATTTGGTAATGGAAAAATTATACTAACTGACCAATGAATAATGAGAAGTATGTATGTTGAACGATTAACTAGTAAATATCGTTTATTATAGTGAACAGCATATATATATCGATTTATTGCTTGAACAAGATATGAGTAAGCTTTTGATGAACATGCTAAGCCGAGAATAATACCACGTATTTGACATGATATTGGCTCTTGACGATAATAATTTGGCAAAAATCCATATAGAACATTGATTAACATCATTGTACAATAGAGAATTCCACATAAACAAGAATTACAGCACAATAAATTTGGTATTGTACGACAATGTCTATGACGATAAGTAATTATAATTACTGATAAACTAAATATAAGACCAATTAACGCTAATAGTGCTAATAGTGAGTAAATAATAATAAAAAATGTTAACGTCGGTTCAAAGAATTTAGTGTTCGTCATCTTAAACTTTTTGTCGGTTTTTTTCCTTGGAAAATGCAATAATACATCATTTATGATTAAAAAAATTATATATGTCAGAGACTATCAAAAGAGAAGACGAAGAAATATTGTGTTGTATTGTTCAATCATACAAATAAAAGAACCTATGTTATTATAGTTCTGTCTGGTGAGATTATTAAATAGTCTATCTTTGTTGACAAGCTCAATATTTGTTCTACATTTATTTGAAAAACATGAAAAAGTTGTGTAATAATTATGCTAAGGAGACAGTATTAAAAATCTACTGAATATTAAAGATTGTAACTTGTTCACTCTATTTTAAGAAGAAGAAAGAATTTTTTTCTCTTTTTGCACAAATGACAGACATCTAAAATAATTATACGCAAAATTTTCTTCATTTTTTCAGCATTTTTATCTTACTTTCTATCAACTACGTTTGTACTTTCATATATCATAATAGAGTTTTGAAACCTGACAATTAAGATAATATTATTTATTACGTAGAGCAAGGTTTCTTGTTCTATTCTTGTTCATCAGCCAGAACGTGGTACGTTCCAGTTGACGATACTAGTATACACATTAATACCTAGTGCGAAATTAAGAAAGTTCATGAAACAAATGTTGTATCTTGACGACTTGAACAAGTGTGATTACTGACAACAACAGATGCAAAATTTTTTATTTCATTCGTTGCAGCAGAGAAATATGGTGTGATTTTCTAAAGAAACATACTGTTCTAAGAAAGCTACTTGTCATAATAAGACTTAGTTAGGAATTTAGATGAAAAAAGTTGATCAAAAACTAATCAGTGTATGAACCAGTGTATAAATCCAGGCATCATAAAAAAGTTTAAATTTGATTTATGACTTTGGCAAATTCTTACCTTTTGGAAACTTCATACACTTGTCATATATTTCTTTAAAGATGTTAATACCTTGACACAGGAGGATCATTTGAAATAAATAGTAATATATCTGGTAATATATCTGTCATACAGGCCATTCTGGAACAGTTCAAATCTCAGGAAAGAAACTAGTATTTAAAGTTGGCAGTTAAATATCAGTTTTTAACCATCTATCAACGAATTAGTCACCTTTTCTTCCACTATTCTGACCAAATTGATTAGATGTGCATACAGGAAGAACGCTGTGGAGTATAGAAAATCTAGGCCTGCTGTCACAACTTCTTTCTTTATGTAGTTGTAATTGTTTCGATCGCAGTGATACAACTCCGGACAGTCCTGTGTCCTTTGAAGATTTTATTTATTGCGCTAACAA